TATATAAATATATAAAGTAGATGATAATTGTTTTATTGTCCAGAGTTCTCCCTGCTTAATAAGACATAAGCAGACCATTCAACAGTCTTTCTTCTCATTCTAATTTTTCTAATCTGTCTTCACAGGTAGTATGGTATTTTTCTTATTGGCATCTTGCTAAGCCCCCCTTTTCTTCAGGGCGTGAATCCCAGTAATGTAATATCGTATGACTCACACCAAATTTAAGGAGGGGAATTATTTCATAACTTCTTGGCTACTCATCAGCAGTATTTATGGGGCTCCTGTGAAATTCTGGATGTGCTTTTGTTTGGAGATTTTTTTAAAGTTTTATTTGTTTTAAATCAGTTTTGCTTTTTTTTTCCTTCTCTACCAAAATGGTAACTGTCAGTGAAACAACCAGAGCTGTAGCCATCTCAATGACCACATTGCGTTCACCCTGCCAGGGGGTTTATTTACTGTCCAATAATTGGTCTTCAACAGAAAACAGTTAACTCAGTTGGGTCCAGTTTCTATGTATCAGTATGACCACTGTCTTTTTAGCCAGCACACAGTTTAACCACCATCCTGTGACTTATTAAGCCCTCTGATCCTTTTCCTGCCATGCATCTTTGCCAGCATCCTGTTATCTGAGCACTATTTACCACTCCTTCTAGTGTAGACGTCTATATGCTATCTTACTAAACATTATTCCATTTACTTCTGGCAATTACATTAAGTCAGTTTGATCTTCTGACTTTCTTTTATCTTTCCAGGTGCATGGTGTTGACTCGAGACTTGACGAAAACATTTTACATTGAATGGATGAGAATGAGAGCAATATTGGGCTAACGCCAGGGTAACACAATTTGTTATAAACCCTCAGACTGCTTAGTACTCTTTCATTAGCTCCCTCTCCACTGCCAGCTTGGAAGATGGCTTGTGGTGGATTAACAAAGCATATTTTCTCAGTTTGCTGCTGAATGTTTTGGGGCGAGGGGGCTGAAGAGCAAAACAAACAAAAAACTTGGTAAGTCTGCCATATTTTCAACAGCTATTTTGATTCTATTCACCATATGCCAAATGAATTCTGATGAAAGTAATTCCCCGGTTACATTTCCTATTGATCCCTGTTCTACACAGAACACAACAGAGACAAATACACGTGAATGACTGATCAATATCATTTGGGGGAGAGAAATGGCTTCAGATGTTCTTCACAGATGCAGCCAGACAACTGAAAGTTTAAAACAATAAAAACTGTTTTCATAGAATATAGAACTGTCAAAACTGCAGGCCTGAAAATATTTAGGGTTAGGAAAATGGACATCATCTTTAGATCCTCTGCTTTTATAAGCATTTGGTCATGACTCTCAACTAAATAAGGTTTAAGTATCAAATCATTAAATGAGCAAACGTATGCACTACTTGCTCGTGTAGGTTGTTTTTTTCCCTCTGAAAGTATCTAATCTGAAACCGAATGTTGCTACAAGGTAGGACCTGGAAGGTGTCTGTGACACAATCACACCAAACAACAGATTACATACCACTCACCTTTATAGTTGTTTTTTTTTTCCCCCCAGCCTTCAATTACCTATCAGTTATGCTAGCTGCTGGCTTTCTTCTTATCTGCTATGAACCTTTCTTTGTAACATACAGATAACACAATGCCAACACTATCATTCCTTTTAATCTGGTTAGAGAATTCTTTTATGCCCCACTAGACATGGAGTGCATTAGGTTCTCTATTGCTTTGAACAGTCTTTTATTGATAAGGCAACCAGCATCCTATTTCTTGAGTGCACCTGGTTCTTCATTGAATTGTCAAGACTTTGCCACTTCCTGTTGGTCCAGGACAAGGCAGATGGGCAGGGGGCATTCCACCTCAGAGAGAATTTTGTAAAAGAAGATTTTTTTCCAAACTATAATTTTTATCATTGATGAATTAAATACCATGCCTTTGTAAACATTCTCTGCTAATATTTTACTTCACACGTATAAGTAACTAACAAGTATTCTGGGAAGACTCGCTGGTCTAAGATTTTTGTTTTTGTTTTTGTTTTTCCCTTTTGCACTGGAGATGTTTATAATTAAATTCTATTACTCTGGAATCTTATTAGTGTCATTATTGAATGCTTTTCTGAAATTGCAGGCATTGTGGATACTCCCTTACGAAGTAGTCCAGATGGTACATTTAAAGGGATGTGCATAATTTACAAAGGGTCATTTAGTGAAGCTTTATTTTAGAGTCCTCAAGGGGCAAGCTCTAATTACAACTATGCCAGCTTTAAAATATTCACTAGTTTTCTTCCAATAAACCTTTGGTGTCAATTTTTTCACATGTGAAATTTGTGTTTTTCATATACCCTTGTATTTTATTAAGATTCAAAGTTGAATTTTGTTTCAGTATGGATTTGAGCATTAATCAAGTAAAATACCATTCCTTATCACTCATCTATCCACCTACGCATCTATCTATAAATCAATTGAATCTGTCTTCCATACTATCCCATTTAAGCTATGTAATTTCAGGCCTTGAAATCCATGACCATAAGGTTTAACTAGATTACTACATGCGTTTGTGTTGAGAATCTTGCATTTTGTGTATCATTTCAAGCTCAGCCCTCACTCCATCATACGCTGATGCGATCCTTCCTGAATCTCAATGCAAAGACATATATTTTAGAACATAAAGACTCACGTCTTGATTGGACATATCCCAATAGGGTCTCTCTCCATACGACATCACTTCCCACATAACGATTCCATAGCTCCATACATCACTTGCTGATGTGAATTTACGATAGGCAATTGCTTCTGGCGCAGTCCACCGGATAGGAATCTTGCCACCCTGTGAACATTCAAGCCGTAAGTTATTCCCTAAGTACATCACTGATGTGCCATTTCAGTCACTGAACGTTGTTACTGTTTGCCAAGCAGGACAACAGCATTCCTGAGATAGCTCTCCAAACAACAGTAAGAGACTTGTTTATTTTAACTAGTCTTCTAGGTTGAGACACTTCTCATATGTTTTCTTTAGTCATGAATAAGTAATCTGTTTAATTATTTTTAAAATGTCTACCTATTATCTGAGCTCTGCGTCAGGCAATATTGTAGAAGGGAATTTCGGGTTTTACAAAATGCATATGTCATCATGGTATATCAATGGATGCGCCATGGATATTCATTTTGACTTCTTGTTGGATTCTTTCACTCAGCAACACAGAGGCAATATTTAATACTGCTTCTGAAATCATGAACTATGGAAGTTAAATATGAAAATTTCTATCCACCACACTGTGATCCTACTTTTATATAGCATGAGAAACATGTTTAACATGGTTAGAAGATAATACATTACATAGGCTCTTAGCAAAAGCCAAATACCAGATGTTAGAGCTGTTACTGTCTTTGATGGAGTGAGGGCACCCACAAAAATGGTAAAGCAATTGAATATTACTCAGGAAAAGTTTAAAATGCTGTTTTCTTGTTTTGTTTTGTCTTGCCTCAAATATCTATTGTTTGATTATGCTTATGTGAAAGGTGTTTTTAACTGAGTTTCAAATTTCTTAAGGTTTCATGTGGGGAAATTAATTTAACTTGAATTCAGACCCTCAAGCTGTTCAAGAGAACATCATTTGAAAGTGTGCTTTACTAAGGCTACTAAACAAGACAATAAATTGTATTAGAAATTGCACTGATTCACTGGAGTTTACTCTGAAAACCCAGTGTCTTACATTTCCACTTGTTCCATACAGAAGGACGCTTGTTCTGCCTTCTACCTGCCTTAACTATTTGGCTAAAGTTTTAGCTGTGTAAATGCATCATTCTAGAAGCCTCCTTTTAACTTTCCTTTCTCCAAATACTGGAAAAAGATTTAAAGATCTTTAGCATTCACAAAGATGCATTCTTTCCTAAGTGAATGGACTTAGAATTCAAAAGTGGATATATGAGTAAGAATCAAAAGTAGAGCCAAAGAAACTGAACCCTACGAGGAAAAAAAAATAACCAAACAACCAAACAAACAAAAAACAGTGCTTAGGATTGCTAATGCAAAATGAGCATCAAAGGAGGAAAATGACTGGTAACTGTCTGCTTCCCATTGATTTCAGCAGTGCCAGCCCTAACGGCCAATAACTTTTATGATTCTGTTTATTCCATTAGTATCTTATATTCAGATTGTCCAGCTAAGATAGCATAGCCATTAACTGTGTACTGATAACTCTTAACTGTGCCCTAATCCAGTTTATCTACCGGTAGTAAAATGAAGGCCATTAGATACTAAAAATTCTTGCACAGTGTATATGTTTTATAAATCCTGTATCTACATTCTCAGATTCAGTAGCCAACTAACTAGGAACATTGCTCTGTCTTGTTTAAAGTAAGAAAAATGTTATAATAATAGAAAAGAACTAAGGACAAAATCTAAAACAGGAAAAGAAGGAAGGAAGGGAAGAAAAATTAAGTGTAAAAGATGCAATAAGTAAAGCTCTAGTTTGCAGTTTTTAAAGTAGTCACACATCTTGAGGCAGTTTCAAAATCCCTCAGAAACATGGCTTAAAAATGAACGCATGGAAATGAAGAGGCTCTGAATGATGAGGAGACTTACAAAATCACAAAGGGCTTAAACATCAAAGTGAGAAAAGAGGAAGAGTTTTTATCAGAGTCAAAACCCAGAGGTCATAAATCCTCCTTACCCTGGTGGTGTAAGCGGCTTCTGGATCATCCTCAAGCACTCGTGACATGCCAAAATCAGACACTTTGCAGACCAAGTTGCTATTTACCAGAATATTCCGTGCAGCTAGATCTCGATGCACATAGCTCATATCAGATAAGTACTTCATCCCGGACCCGATGCCGCGAAGCATGCCCACCAGCTGAATGACAGTAAATCTGCCATCATTCTTCTGCATAGGAAAGGAATGAGAAACAACCTCATTAGCATTAGGCCAAATTAATTTTCACCAAGCATTTATTACTTGGAACTTTTTTGGTATCTGTATCAAGTATGCAATGAAACTCAACATTATTTCCGGGCCTTTCTGATCGAAGTCACTAATTCTTTAGTAGAGTGTATCCTAGGAACTGGGTTTGCTTCCTGTGGTAGATGGAAATTATCCAACTCTAATGAATCTACAGCTCAAACAGCCCCACAATGCAAGAATAAATCTAATACTACCTTCATTGAACATGGATTATTTAATAGCCTTTAAAAATCACATCATTCTCTATGTCTCCTCTTCTTCCCTAGCCCCATTAAAAAAGTCCATGAATACAACCAAACAGAATGGACACAAGGAGTCTGTTAGAGTCTTCTAAATACCAACATTCTTGGATTTAATATAAAGTAGTCACGTACCCTGAGGAATGCATCCAAGGAGCCATTCTCCATGTACTCTGTTATGATCATTACTGGTTTACCTAGAGTTTTCAGAAAGAAAAACGCAAACCCTTGATGAGCACTGCAGTTAATGAGATAAAAATGGCCTGTGCACAATTTTACTGCCAAGACACCTGTCTTGTGCGATCTAATTTAATTAAAACAAGCCAAGCTTATGCCTCAGCTGTGGGGAGCTAGGAATCAAATATTAAAAGGACGGGTAGGTTTAAATTCCATCTGGAAGGTTAACCCTTTGGGTGGCTTGTTGACAAAGTCTTTAACTAAAGTGGCCTCCGGTATCCAGGGAGCACATGAACGGATAATTGCTCTCTCAAGCAAAAGGGGAAGATGATAAATGGGCAGGCCTGTGTAAAGGCGAAAAAAATCTTTAGGATAATTAATTTATTTTGTCCCCAGAAGAGCCACTTGTGTGATGCTAAAGCAATCAATGGACAGAGAAACTTTTTTACTTATTTAGAGAAACCCAAGTTTCTGGGAGCAGTTATGCCGAATAGGTCATGACTCAGACACACCTTACAGCTCAAGCCTGCACAGTATTAACAGCCCCCTCCCCCCACCTCCGACCGCGTGCCTTGCTCAGGTCAGAAGCTGTACCCTTTCTTTTCCCTTTCCTTTCTATAAAAAAAAAAAAAAACAACTTAATTCTATTTACTCCCTTAAGCTGACAATCTCAGTAACAACAAACAACAAAATTCAGAGAAAAGGTTCAGTAAATTATTTCATCTGAGACAGAAAGTTAATTCAGTACTAGAACATTCTTGCTCCCCCTCACCTGTTCCCCCCACCCCCATAAAGAGAACAAATTATTTTAAGGTTTGGGAGAAGTGGGGGGAAACAATCCTCTCGTTTCACTTTGGTGTTCTTTCTGAGGAACTTAGGAAATAAGAACCATTCTTTAGTTTCTTAATTGCTGGCAATGGGCTCAAGGTCTGAAATTCCTTCTTTCTAAATGGTATTTGTGGGAGGGGTGGGGGTGGGAGCATAAATCCTCCATATTTTACTAAAGGATGGGTTAAAGCAAAGAGAACATAAAAGATTCCCTGGGAGGAAAATCAAATGCTAGTTTGATAAATCAAAAATATTCACTTTCATTGCTATACTTGTGGAATGTTTGGACTTAGACATTCAGTTGGGAAAAATGGACTAGGATATGCCACTGCTGAAAAGTTCCTGTAATCATTCTAAACTAATACCTTTCCCACCCAGAACAGACCCTCTTCTGATGTGGGGGAGAGAGGAAATGTCTTCATTTCAGAGGGAAAAATTAGGAAGAGCAGAAGTTTTCCATTTCAAAGCCGTCCAAGTTACCTTTCTTTTTTTTCCCCACTGTGTGTTTGGTGCCATGTCTAAGAAATCTTTCCAAGGTAAAACTTTTGGATGAGGAAACAATACCATGGAGACTTTATTTTCAGCGATGAATGAAAGCTCTCAGAAAAACCGGAAAGTTCAGTGTAGACCAAAGGATGAACAAAAACCACTTCCGGTCTCTCCCCTTGGATGGAGGGCGTGGTCTCTCTACACCTTTTCTGCCCTCCCTCCATGTAATACATAAGAAGCTCTTACTTTTTAGATTCTTTTACCCTCTACATCTGTGGCCACAGACAGAGCAAATACATCTAAATGAGCTTTAATGAACCCACCTCAATCAAAAGATACTTTGTCAACTAATGAGAAAGGTTGACTCTCCTGCATTAACACCTATTCCAGTTTCACCAGATCCCTCTAGAGGTGTGGATAAGAGAGTAGAAGATCCAAAAGATTGGGGGGGGGGAGTGGAGAGTAGTGGAGAGAATTTACAGTCTCCCCGTCAATTTAAAAAGTGACTCAAGTAACTGCTGGTAATGAATTCACACGCTTCCACGTCACCTTTGCCCCCTCACACTCCTTCCTCTGACGTTTGGCACCATCTTTATAATTTTTCTGCATTCCTTCTTCTGTTTATTAAAAGTATCCATTTGTCAGAATCTTTATGAGCTCTCCAAGAGAAATAAAGATGAATGTCTCCATAAGCAGAGGGGCTTATAAAATGGGTCTCAGCTGGGCTCATGGATGGATGTGGCTCTCCCCCTGCAACAGGCAGGGGTGCAGTGGGGAAGGCCAGAGTTGGGGGAGGGGGACAATTCCTCTGGTGGAAATTTTAAATCATTTTTATTCAGTGACAACTGCATTATGCAAATGAATCCAGTCGTTTATAACAGTTACAGCTGTAATAGCTACAGGTTTTAGAGGCACGGTGGGACTTTAATACAAAGATCCCGTTTCTTCTCTCTTCTGCAGAGGTGCTACATGAAAATCACTGTCTGCAGCAGGAAAAACACCCCAAGCTGAACAGAGCCTCCTTTTGAGAAAATGGACCTGCAGAAGTATTTAAACAGAGTGTTATCTTTCAATTAAAGTAGTGAAAGGCTCTGGGCAGCCCTGAAGGCCACGGGCAACAGAAAAATATCCTGTCTGTAAAACTAATCTTAAAAAGCAAATAGAGCTATTCTATGCTAATTATAGCCTTCACCTTAGGTAGAAAATTATATACCCTTAGCACCGAGGTTCCGTTTTTTAAGGATTCTGAAGATGGGGAAAGATGTTCTTCTTAGGACATAATAATACCAGTTAACACTTAGGGAAGTTTTCTGTTGTTGTTGTTTAAATTTGCCAAGCATTATGCTAAATACGGGAAATATTTCATCCAAAATAACCTTCTGAGGCAAGTTCTATTTTTATCTCTATTGTACAGATGAGGAAACTGACAGTTTGAGCAACTAGTCAAGACCTCGTGCCGTTATGAGCAGTAGTGCTGATGGGCATGTCTCTGGTCATGGGGCCAAGGAATCTCTAAGTCTGGTCCTAAGGAACTACAGCTTTGGTTTATCTTCCCACTCTTTAGAAATGCGAACTCACTGCCCCACCCTACCTGCTGAATCAAACCTGAGGATGTGGTCCAGGAAGCCATTTTAACAAGTTTTCCAGAATTCCGATGTATGTTTGAGGACCTCTGAATGAACATACACTTCCTCTCACTTTTCAGTAACCTCCTTATTTTCTCTTAGTAAAGGTCATGGACTCTTGTGTCTCACTTCCCCGCTCTGCCCCAGACCACATGTCCAAAGTTGACTCGTTAACCTCCCCTCCCCTCTCCACCATCTCCCCCCCCCCCCCCCCCTCCCCCCCCCCCCCCCCCCCCGCCCAGTTCACCCACTCTGCACATGCTGATTGAAGATGCTTCTCATAGGCACCTTGAATCAAGTTAGAGGAACCTTGGCCTTCCTGGAGACATAGCCCTGGGGCTTACAAGATCCTTGACTTGTAGTCAAATAGTAGGTACCGTGGCTCCTGGAACAGAGCCATGTTCAATAGCAACGGCTTCAGCTAAACTATCCATGTGGTGCTTTATAAATTGGTCTTAGCCAGCCTTACAGATGTGTTCAGGGTTTGCTTCACAAAATGCATCTGTTGAGCTGTGTCGTATTTTAACTGAAGCGTGGTTCACAGGCTCAGCGAATGCTAATGGGCTAAAAAAAGGGAAGGTTCATCCAGGTGTTACTGTAAATAGATGCTGAACAGCAAAATCCATAAATCAGGCAGAGCAGACAAGCAAATCGCCCAATATAATAAATATTTCCAAGATTCACTCCCTGCATCTGGAGCTGAAGCTTTAAGCACAAGGTGTGGCGAGGTTTTGTTGTGGTTTATATGAAAAGTACTTAAATTTTATTTTGCTTACCATCTGGTTGCGCCTACCCTGTGACAATCAGTTTGGTCTAGCGAAGGTTTGAAAGATGGCGAGGCATACCAAAAATCTGCAATATTAATTTCCCTAAAATCTCACACAAGCTGCCTTGGAAATAGGGAATCAGCCTAAACCGTAGACCCATTGAGAGCTGACTACAAGATTAATGACTTGTCCTGCACTGATTTCCTCCTATTAGCAATCAGTGGGTCTGCTCCATCTGTCATTTCCCTGGAAAGAAAATGTGTGTTTAATTTGCCAGTAACTTCTAACTTGGCTTTGTAAAGGGAGCGACCCACATACATTTGGTGACAACGCCTTCCAAGTGAATTATGTTCGGGTGGTCAAACTGTCCCATGATGCTGGCCTCACTCAGGAAGTCTCTCCTCTGTTTGTCTGTATAACCAGCTTTCAGGGTCTTGATGGCCACACAGATCTCTCTCTTGCCAGGCACTTTGAGACGCCCACTGCATACTTCGCCAAATTCACCTTTGGGAGAGAAAATGAATCAACCATGGACCAGAAGCACATTCAAGGTGAAAGAGTAATAGCTAGCATTTGTTGAGTGCTTCTTATATGCTGGGCACTGCGTTAATGTTTTACATAGATCAAGGAAATTTCATGTACACCAATATTTACATATATACACGTATATACAATACATTCATACACACTTGTATAATCTACATATGTATAGTTAATATCTACAAAGAAAATAGGCTTATTCAAGAGACATTCAGATACTTACCAACTCCTATGACTTTTTCAATCTTAATGCAGGATGCGTCGATTTCTTTGGCAAATTCTCGAACCGCTTGGTTGGGATCTTCATATGTAAAGGGATCCACGTAAGTTCTAACACCTAAGCAATAAACATGTGATAGGATGGCTGAACACTTCTCAAAAACCACCAATAAACTTAAGTTGTCCTGGTCTAAAAATACTCAGTACAAAAAGTGTTCTTGGCATGACAAAAATACTTAGCATAAACATACGAAAATGTTTAAATTCTTGCTCTGGTTTTCATTAGTGGGTAAACAAAGAATTGTTAGCTACTTAAGAGGCTACAGATCTACTGACTTCCTGGAATGTCTTCACACTTCAAGGATGAAATCTGAGAAACAACCCATCCCATGGAGGAAAAGAGAGTCTCTACAAGAAAACTGGGAAGGTGTTGGCTGAATACTGTTTGTCCAGATCAGTTGCTCATTTCCTACCCACCATCTCCAGCTATCCCTTCTTGGGAAGTAACTGGAACTTTCTTTCTCAACTGGCCATGTCTACACGGTGCCCCATTTTGTCCAATATCTGGACCAATTAAGCATGTGACCAAGAATTAACAAATGAAGATTAAAGCTAGGTTCAAATAGACAAGAGGGATAATACCAGCTAGCTGACTGGAGAATATAAACTCTGTATTGGATCTGCACTTTTATTCTGCTTTAAAAAGAAGGTGCTGTTAGTAAAGACATTGAAGCTCATCTGGCAGATTCAGCTGAAGAAAATGTTTTTCCTCATTGTGAATGGTTTGAATACCAGGAAGTGTAACTCAGCCAAACGCCACAGTCAACTTGCAGCCTAAATTCAGAATGTGAGCACTGAGCCCAGAGATGTCTGGCACAAGAAGCATTTGTAATTACTGGGAACTCTCCTTTCCCTACTAGAGCTCCTATGGCTTTGGGGCACAGAGAGGGTGCAGGGCACTACTTGACCTAATCCCTGATTTTCCAGAACTGTCAGTTTTTTCCCCATCAAAAAAAAAAAAAAAAAAAGTCATTTGTTTTTAAAAATATATACCACACGCAAATTTTAAAATATGGTTTTGAAAAGAAAACAAGGTGAATAAATAGAAGGTTGTCAGATATCCCATATCCTTTATGACTTTATATGCTGTAGCCAAGAAACTCTTTCTCAAGATCATTCTTCCTACCCCCGGTCTCTCTCTTCCTTCTATCTCCCTGTGCTGTGCAATAGGGTAGCTATTACCCATAAATTGCTATTTAAATATCAGTTAGTTAAAATTAAATAGATTTAAAATTCACTTTCTCATTCACACTTGCTACTTTTCAAATAATAGTGCATGTGGCTCTTGGCTAATGTACTGGATGATGCAGACAGAGACCACCACCATCTCAGAAGTTTCTACTGGATGGTGCTCCAGAAGAGGCATCAGCAACTGTCCATTTAAGAGTCTTCTATCTTGCTCAAGTCTTCTATCTTGCTCAAGTCTTCTAGGGCCGGTTCTCAAATATTTTCTTCGACCCCCAAATAACCAGAGTACACTGAAGAAATATTAGGAGTCCTGAATGCCATAGCAAATATTCTTGGGGTTGGAGCAATTATTGTTCATTCCTGGAAGTTCTTTTCTTCCGCCCAAATTTTATCTTATAACACAAGAAAAACTGACCTGTTAAGCCTTGTCACCTACCTACAAAAATAAGCCAGCAAGACCAATACTTTCCAGGGTGGAGAATAAAATAAGGGAAAAGAAGACTCTAAAGGAGTTTCGCCAACCCCCATCTTCAATCTCACTTGAAACAATCCCAAATCACTTATTTCGGTTGGATACTCTTAAGTCCACTATTTAGATAATTCCATGGGAGGACTATAATATTAATAGTCTTGTGAATTTAATGTAGGCATTTCTAAACTGAAAACATGAGACATGCTTTAAAAATAAAATTATTTTTAATCCAATTTTTGTACCTTGATTCAAATGTTTCTCTTCATCTGCTTCTTGTTTAGCTTTACTGTATTTACTCCGTCTATTAAAAATTAAAAAAAAAAACACACAATTATTTTCAAAAGTTGTATGCCATAAATTCTTTGCTACCATAAGTCAGGCAAATACACTGTGCATATTTCACAGATGAGTAAACTGAGGTTTATGGGAAGTAAAATAATAAGGTGAATAACTGTCACTTTGGTGGTGAATGATGTTTCAAGCACAAGCAGTCAGAACCCAGAGTTTCTGCTCTTAACCACAATACTAACCTGAGGTGATAAAGCAAGTATTTTATAACATAATTTCAAATCTCGAGAATAAATTTATCTTACTGAAGACAGACTGGCTAACTTTCCCATACATATTCTGAATTAAAGTAAGTTTCCATGGGCGAATTCTGCAGAAATCAAATGGCAGTAGTATTCAGTTCCTGGTATTGATAGGTAACAGTCCTGTTGCTCTAACCACAATAACCACTACCACAAAGACTCATTATCATATTAGATGATATTCTTAAAACAATAGTTTCGTGGTTATTGGTTTCAGCTGCTGCTTACAAACTCCTAAATTATTAATGAAAATTTAAAAGGTAAATATTTGCTTTTTACTGGATTACGTTCCTTAAGAGTTCGCAGAAAACTTGCAAAAGTAAAAATGAGAAGTTTCCATTTGTAGCCGAATTCTCTTTTTCCAAAGAAATGGTGTATGGTCTCACCATTGGCATTCTGTTCTAAATGTCATAAAGAAATGAGATTTGGGTGGGGGGTGGTACGCCTGGATGGCTCAGTCGGCTAAGCGTTCGACTCCTGATTTCTGCTCAGGTCATGATCTCAGGGTTGTGAGATTGAGCCTGTTGTCAGGTTCCACGCTCACTGGGGAATCTGCTTAAGATTCTCTCTCTGTCTCTCCCTCTGTCCCTCTGTCACTCACCCTCTCTGGAGAAAAAAAAAAAGAAATGAGATTTGGGTGTCATAAAAGTCTTGGGAATCAGAAATCTTGAATATATATAAATCTTAAGTCAATAATCTTGATGCATATATATACGTGTATGTGTTTATGTCACTTACATGAATCAAAAAATCAACTCAGTTGGTACTACAGCTTTCTAAAGTTTAGGAAGATGAGGTCAAATAAGTGAATAAAATGTGTACATTTATGTTTCCGTCCAAAATGTAAAGTTCACATTGGCATTCCTCTCGTGTTTTTTAGAAGCTTCACAGACGAGGTAAGCCAAGACTCTTGCAGATGAGGAAGCTGACCCAAGATCCCCTCCAGACCACAGAGCATCTTGACAGTGCGGCCCCATCAGATCCTGGAAACCTGAACCCCTGAACTCCGAACAAGCAGAGAAGGGTGAGATGATCGTGTAGAAGAAAGAACAGCAGAGAAGTGGACGAGGCCACGAGGGGCGACCAGAGAGGAGCCCCAGCACCATACCCACATCCCGCCGGACTGTCTGCAGATGACCCTCCATGGGTATCATTGCTCTGCAAGTAATAATACCTTGCACTTTCACACTGCATTTAACTTTCCAAGGTGCTCTGTACACATTATCATGCCCTCCCCCAACTATTTACGAAGCAGGAATCAGCTTGGTTGTGATTCCGTCACTCAAGTTAACCCGCCAAGTGTGTGGAATGCAGTCCCAAATAATAGCTTGCCTTTTTACTTTGCTTTTAACTTTTTAAAGAGCCATCCTGTCTATTATTGCATCTTCCCAGCAAGCCCAGGGAAGTAGGCAGGCAGACAGACACACACTCAGTTCCACCGTATAGGTGAGGCAGGGGGCCCGCGGCTGCCCCACGACACTCTTAGCAAGGAGAGGAGTGCGCCTGCCCCGATCTGCTCGCAATCTCACATGCCTCTCATAGTACAGATGAACTTACACCAAGATCTCTGATGAGATTATTATAAGTAATACTACATTTTATATCAGTAAATCCACTTAAACTGGATGCCGCTGCTTTCAGAATCCACTGGTTCATCAAAGAAACGAAACACATTGAAATGTCCTGAAACCAAACCTTTGTCTGAAAGATGTAGTCCCCTCCAGCCCTCCCCATCCCCTTCCCCTTTTAAAGGAAATATGAGTGTAAGGTCAGGAACTATGAAAACAAGGTTTTATGTCAGGGAAACGCGTGGCTGGGTCCCAGGGGTGTGATAGGGTCCTGCCAGCCTGAGCGATTGTATCTTATCAGAGCTCCTAAAAGCATTATCTAAAATTACAAGTATATCTCTTGAACCACTTTAGATCTCCAATACTGATTTGAATGTCTCTCCTTTAGAGAAGCAAAACAATGTATTGAGCAGGAGAGCTTTGGTACCAACTTTAAAATGCCAGTGAGTTTGTCAAAGACCCTGTAATATACCAACAGAAACAAGGGCCTCCAGCTGCCCAGGAGGGCAGTTATCTGTCATCCATTAAATATGTGTGAAGCCAGAGGAAATGCAAAATGGCAGGGATCATTAACTATAAGGCCGACACGCCCATCCCTTCCTCAGACTTCTAAACACAGGAGGAGGAATTAAACATGAGGTGAAGGTGTTATTTTTAAAGAAACTTCTTGATTTGCAGTGTTACTTGGGGGAGAGGACCCTCCAGGAGTACAGAAAATGCTGGAAAAGAAACACAAGGAATCACTGTTCAAACACTAATGGTAGCGTATTAGCTTTTTCAGAAGATATTGGAAACTAAAATGCCTAAGCTCCGCTCTACCTTTGTCACCTGATGACCCTTTCTTCTTGGCTCAGGGGAGGACAATGTGTCCGTTATTGTCCCAGGAAAGAAGCCCATTGAAGCTGGTCAGCCAGGCTGGAGGATGCCACATGGCGTAAAGAAGGGCTAACTCTAAATTGACCTCCACGGGCGGATCACCTGAATGGCAGAAGGAAACCTTTGTGGAAGATTTTCTAATTACTGGGACTAGAGGGCAAGCTGATTAAAACAGGGTGGGAGGGGAATGGTTTGTTAGTGAATGCTCCAGAAGGAAGCAAGGGACCGTTCATCTGCAGGAGTGAGAGGGAGGAGCCTCCCCTGCAGGTGAAGCTGCAAGTGGGAGCTGAGCCCTCCCCAGCTTGGGTCAAAGGGGGACGGAATCAGGGTATTAGCAGGCATTGTGGAGGAACAGCGTGAGCCCTGAGCGCTGCCCTCCCAACTAATGTGTCCTTCTGGCACCTTGACTATTCAAAAACACAAACAAAACACTGGAGGGGGAGCGTGGCAGGGGCCCAGCACAAACCCCGCTTTTATTAAAATACTAACTTTCCTTGATCAACTGGATGGATTTGATTGATGTGGTTCACTGTTCCAAAACTAATTAGTAAAAGGTAAGTAATTTATTCAGCTAAAGTGCAGATTAAAGAAGATAAAGCAATGTAATAACTAGCACGGCTCCAGGAGGACCCTTTCCAGCGTTTAATGGCATCACCCGTGAAGATTCATAGAAGCCATCCTTCTTTTCCCCTTCCTTAAGCTGTCATTGTTCTTGCACCAAATGATGTCTAAATGTTCTTCACAAGCAACATTTTGAAATGGGTGGAATTGAACCGTACAATTGCACGCAACTTGTTTAGAAATGTTCCTGCAGTACCATCTGCCCCCTAATTGTATGAATTCACATGACTTCATCGGAGCCAATTTAGGCTAACATTGGAGTGTATTCATTCTTATGTGATCATAATATTCCAATTAGGACACCAGGGAAGATGGATACAGACTGAATGGTAACTGTTTTCGCATTACATGAACAGTTAGCTCCAAAGTGGAAAAGCTTAGCCTTCAGACGAAGACAAAACCAACTCACAAAGTCTGACTTTATAGTGTGCATTCGATTGGCACGGCAATTCACAGATTATCAAGGCTACCAACGGCACCGAGGAGACTCCTGAAATTTTGGTCTGCTAGTATGGTCAGTGTGGGCTTTAGATATAGATCCATTTTTTTCAGTTCAGAAGACATTAGAATCATCTGTGCCAGTATTGGAAGTCAGGAAAGTTGGGCTCCTGTCCCGATCAGGCAACTAACTAGCTGTGTGACCTTGGTTTAGTTCATTGTTTAACCTGCTCTCCAGGTTCCGGGTAGAGAAGGTACCAGTGTGAGAATGAGGTAGTTTCCTGAACAGGGGTCTTTTGTGTCCTTCTTCACAAATTTTACCACAACCACCTCATTTTTTTTTTCTTAAAATCACTTCACTTCTTTTTCTTTAATTTGAGTAAAATGGGTACAACGTGCCCTAACATAAACGGACATAACAAAAACCCAGCAGCAATCCTCTATGCCTGGTTTTCAGGCAATACTTGTCTCTCATCACCAAACTATGCTTTAGAAATGAGAAACTCGTCTTATGTTCTAGTCCTTTCAAAAGTTTTTCTTGCATTGTAGAATAGTATTTGGGGAAGACACACTAGCCTCAAGCAACCGGAATTAATCGCATCTGGAACAACCTGATGAAATCATTTATAAAGGGGCAGGGGACCAGGGAAAAGGAACGCATTCGTTCATTAGTCCCGGAGGTTATGACCTTATCATTGCATTTTATGATGTCGCTGTTAACAGTCCTTTCAAAATCACTTTAGAAAGCAATAAAGTGGTTACACGGTGGAGACCACAGATAGATACCTACAGGAGTTTGGGGACGTGGTGCCATATGCTACTGAGAGAATGTACAGACATGGTTTGGGATAAACTTTCTAGGGACAGCATCATGTAAGTACAAGGGGTATGACACTTGAACAACCCAATAGCAAGTACAATTGTGTGCCCAGAAAGCTGAATTACACATCAAGGGATGAAGGAGTGCACTGATTGTAGATGCTTGTAAAAAAAAAAAGTAAGTGAATTTGTCAGGGCGCCTGGGTGGCTCAGGCGGTTAAGCGTCTGCCTTCGGCTCAGGTCATGATCTCAGGATCCCGGGATCGAGCCCCACATTGGGCTCCTTGCTCAGTGGGGGAGTCTGCTTCTCCCTCTGCCCCTCCCCCCGCTCTTGTTCTCGTGCTCTCAAAAAAAAAAAATAGTAAGTGAATTTGCCTAACATGATGTGAGTGGTAAAAACATATAATGGGTCTTAAGTCAACTTGCTTTGTATATCATTTTAAATATATAAATAAAAATAAATGTGGGAATTGGATTCTTTCACTGAGATCCCCAAATGTTTACAACACATCCAAGTCGGCCAAAAGGAAAAAGCTTTCTTCTCATTGAAAAAAATGGAGATTACCCTGGCTTGCCTAAAGCTGAGGCTTCTCAGTATAAAGAAGATATAATGAAATAAATGAAACAATCGCTATCAAAAAAAAAAAAAATCTAGCAAGATACCAGCTGTGAGCCTGAGGCCGTTTCCTCTTTCCTAAATGACAAATCAGCACCAGACAGATTTTTCTTTGAGGTAATCAGGAGGGTTGAAACTTTTCTCACTGTGTGGGTGCCTGTCCTCTACTTCTGAAAAAAAACTCATACTCCATCCCCTGGTGGGACTCAGTTGGAGGGGAATCACCTTATAAGGGAGCCCTCTGTCTCAACCTTCCATGGCTCTCAAGGGCGAGAAGCAACCCTATCATTTTCCAGGCCAGAGTGTTCCATTTGTTGCCTTCCCAGAGAGCTGGCAAGATTATTTGGGGTGCCACTTACCACCTTTCATTTGTACTCGCACTTAAAGCAAGGACCAGACTTCTGTCCGCACTACCTGTCTCCTCTCTCTTCACCTGTTCTTGTCACATTTAAACATCTGTAGTCCAATGTGACAGCACACACAGCCAGCATGCGGAGAAGAATCAGCTGAGTGTGCATCAGCCGCGGCAAAGCCTGTCAGCTACCTGGCTCCAGGCAGCCTTTCCCATGACAGCTTTATGGCCAACACTAAAGAAGAATCAATAGGAGGGCAAGGGGTTGACATTTCATTTTCTAAAAAGTGATCCATTGAGGACCAATCACCAAGCAGTGTTTATCAGCCTTGGGAAGTGACATTTTTTTTTTTAATGGGGGAGAAGGGACAAGAATCATCGCTGGGTAACTCGACAGGCTCAATTCTCTAAGGTGGGGACTCATAATTGGAAATCCGATGCATCCTCCTATCAATCCTGCCTTAAAGACTAAAGTGATCAATAGAAGCAGAAAGAAAATTAAGTCATCAAGTGTGCGATTTTATTTCCTATAGCTACAAGCTTTTTAATAAGCTCGTCTTCCCATTACATTTTCTTGGGCTTTTGCTTTCTTTTTGTCAAAGTGGAACATCCGAAAGAAACTTATAATGAGGTGATTTATTCCTAATTATTCTGGTTTCACTGGTATATTTAAGGTAACTTGGAAAAAAAAAGTAACTCTAAAGAAAAGCTGGACAAGTAGACAAAGCTTCCCTTCAACATCAAAGAGAAGGTTGAGACACAACATGAGACCCACTTTCTGCAAACAAATGTTCCCTCAAATGGTTCTAAGCATCATATGGTGCTGGATTTTAGCCAAAGATTATTTCGACGTGGAGGTAATTAAGAATTTTTTTCCTAGTTTTAGACTTTTAAACGTCTGTCTTCTGTGATAAAATTTTATTGATATATACTGTAAAATTTTCAGGCACAGAAATACATAATAATGAAAACAAAAGCCCATGTAATTTCCACGAAGTCTCCCGCCCTGCCCCTGCCCCCACTATCAGATGGATATATATGATTGCATCCCGTTCCCCTGTGTTTGTGTGCCTAGCATGTGTACGTATGCAAAACCAAAAGGCAATGGACAAGAAAGAGGTCCATCCTGATTGACTTCCAAAATCAAATGCCAGAACAGGAAAGAATACTTGAAATTCAAATTCTGTTTGGGCCAAATTAGAGTTTCCAAAGACTGAGCTATAAGGATGCAGTGGGCATGTCTATGTATGTTCTATGTGTGCAGTCCAGCAATAGGGAGAAGCGTTCACGGTGGATTTCCCTTCTTCAGGTTGGAACTCACGGCTCTAATCAAACACACAGTGATAGACTTTGCACCAAAAAGAACAAACACAATGACAAAGGTAGGTGGTGCCTGCACACAATGAGCTCTTGCTGCATACTGCATTAGAGCGACCGAGATTGATTTCTGTAATTCCAGTACATTTTGGAGCATGGGAGTGGGGAGGCATGATATTAATAGATACGTGTGACAACTGAGACCATCCTGGCAAATTAGGATATACAGTCATCACCCTAATTACAATGTACCACAAAGTGAGCACAGAGCCTGATGGCTTGCTCAGGCCAGTGGCAAGAGCCAGAAGCATTGTTGTGACATCAATGAGATCACCAACAGGAGGGGCAGAGAGAGCGGACACAGCAGACATTGGCCAGGGAGCTGAGCATGGCTACTGGGTGTCCAGTAGTAGCTCTCCCACTGAGGGAAACTCATGACGCTAGACAAGTATTACGTTTTCCTGAGTATCATGTTCCTCTTCTGTAATGGGAAAAAGTTTACATTGAAGAGGATCATTTTGATGTCCCCGGGTTCTGCCTTTCTTTTGCCAAAAGCCCCACCTTGTGAAATAGTTGATGGCACGGGGGAGTGAAGGTTGGAGAAGCCTAGATGTGGGCACATACTGGAGATGAGTGGCTGTCCCTCCTTAACCCATTCCTCTGGAGCCTCTGACTAGTGTTAATAAGCAGATGGGGGCAACAACAATAAGGAAAACTAGTTCAAAAAAATAGGCTGCCAAGCCATTTTTATTTCTCTCTTTCTTTTCTAGATGGGTTTTCAAGTATCAGGTTAGATTGTAGACTTTCACAGAATTAAGTAATCTGCTGTTTTAGATTCATTTCCAAGAACAATGCCATGTTCACAGCGCGCTTAACAGAAACTCTCTAGAAATGGTGATGGCCTCTCCTGAAAGACGACTGAGCGCAGCACCCAATTATTTGCTTTGGTTGCAATTATTATTAACCAAACTCGAGTTGAAGCACTTACTGTGTGCTAGATTAGCTACTTTACCTATCAAAATTCTCCTGTCAGTAACTCTTAGAGGCAGATCTTCTGAGATCCTCTATCCCTACTTTATAAAAGAGGAAAAAAAAAAGATTCAAAGAGTTTAAGTAATATAGCTGACAAATGGCAGAGCTTAAATTTTGGACCCAAGTTTTATATGGCTTCTTTTTTTGCCTTTGGCAGTTAAGTCTAAGCTTAAGAGAGGTATAAATGTAACACCTTGCAGCTTAGAGAATCTAGCTCTCATTGGCTTGCTTTTCAGCTGGGTTTCCAGGAAATAGCTGGGTCTTTCCAGGACTCTCAGCTGTGAGGGCTGCCACTGGGGCCAGTCCAACTCCAGTAGGGGTGTGGGGAGATCAAAGCCAAGAGGAAGGAGCTGGCCTTGCACATGCCCTGTTTATGATGCTAATCAAAAGCCTCAGCTTTGCTGGGAGGAGACAAAAAGCTCCCTCATAAAAACTGGGATGGGGGCGGTGGGCAGTGAGGGGCTTAAGTGCTTACCTCCTGCTGATGACAAAAGCCGCGATGAGAATGACCACCAGCACCACACTGCCTGAGACTGAGACCAGAAGGACGGTGGAGTTGGCCCCATCTCCAATGATCCGGGAAGGCACTGGCAAAGACAGTTACACAAGGATCACCTCTGGGAAGGTCCGACGAGCTAGAACTTCTGACTGGGTCACGAATATCAGCGTTCACAAGCCACTGGGAAGGCTCACAGCCTCTTTTGCCCTTTGATAAGTACTTATGCGACAGCATTTCTAAGACAGCCTTAATGAGATGAAGACTTGTCTTTTATGTATTTGTATGAAGAACTTCAACCAGAAGACTCTTACTAAATCCCCTGGTAAACATTACCACTCATTGCTTTTTCTTCTTTTCATTTCTAGTTTTATCCCTAACTCAATGAATGATTGGATGCATTCCTTAGTGAGAAAGACACTTGGAAATTTCAAAAAGGACAAGCAGTTTTGAATACCTGCCCACATCCCCTGCCCCAAATTGATCCAAAACCTGCTCATTATTGACCAGATCAGAAGCCACTTCCACCTTGAAGCCTTCCAGGAATATCCCCCCAAAAATGTCAAACCCCATCAGATTCAATCCTACAGTACTTTCTCTTCTGCTTTTTTAGTCTTACTTTATTCAATAATTCATGAAGAAAATTACTTTCTAGAACTGACGTTGAAGCTTCTTCTCCACTATCTCCTTAATCCAGTAAGCTCAATTTCAGTTTGTTAATTACATAGGTGGAGCCATCTTATGTAAACCGCTTATTCAATGGGCATGTCCTTTGTTAACAGTATCAAGTCAATCAGTCCAACTCACAATGTTGAGAGTTGATATGCTTGTCCAAAGGCTCTTAAAAAGAAAAAAAAACCGATCTGACTTTGATTTAAACAGATTCCTAGAAATAAATAAAAGAAGATAAATTTGGTCCCTTCTTTACTCTTCCCAGGGAGAAAACTTCCTACCTCCTTTAAGATAGCTATGCAACTCTCAATTCGTCCACTTATCAATCCCGTTTTTCCATGATCAACAGAAGACTCAAAATAAGAAAAAGAAGAAAACATTTTCTAATCACATGCATAGACGGGTTAGGTAATATGGAAAACGCTCTTCTCTAAAGAGCATGAGCTTTTCTAAGTTACAGACATCGTCATTTCAAACCGTGTTCATTGTCAATAGAATGTTCGCCTAACCAGAAATTAGGTACAGCTACTTAGATTTCACCTGGACTGTAAAAAGGGCCTCAGAAGTTGGTACCTGTGTTGGTCGTGACCTCCAGTGGCTCACTGAAGTCTCCATAGCCAGCTGCTGTCCTGGCTCGGACATGGAACACATAGGAAGTCAGAGGATTCAGGCCTTTGATGTCCGTGTTCCTGGCAGCTGTCCGGACAATGCGGTAACTCCGCTCATTCTGATCCTGCATCATGGGATGATAAAATTAGGGAAGGTGGCAAAACAAATCCCCACTTACTCTAGGCACATAATTAAAGGAACCAAGCCAGTGTCCTTAGAAGTTGAAAAAGTAAATAGAGACTGATAAACTCTAAACCTCCTATTCTCTTCAATGTTGGAAGTACCATTGTAACATCTTGGACGCTGAAGGACATGTGGAGTTTGGGTGTGATCACTGTTGACACTGACCATATGCAGATCTCTATTTATGCTCTTTTTAAAAAAGGAAATCAGATGATGGTTGGTGGCTTTTCTCACTCCACAGCCAGCAATTTAACAGAAATAACCATAAGAAGGTCTCTCGTCTTTTTCTATTTTCCATCTAGAAAATGTCAAAAATGTTGTAATCTGGTTTCAGTGAAAAATAAGTCCTGTCCCCTTTTTGCTTTTAATAAGGAAGCCAATAAGTGATTATCTTTAGAAAGAAAGAGAAGTCAATTGTTCATTTTCTAGACAATCTTGAATGCAAATAGCTCTCTTCAGAATTCTGTCCTTTAAGAGAGACAAGTTATTTGTAAAAATAATGTCTTTCTATAACTTTAAGAGGCTGAAAAATGTAATTTTCCTTCCCTGATTTTCTATTAAAAGTCATCAAAACCCACACCTTGATTCTGAATAGCAGTGATCTACTTAAACAGATCATTATTTCGACTTTTATGAGTCACTCTCACTGATAGAAGGCTTATATATAAGAACCTCTTAGTTATCTTGATTTCCATTACTAGAAAGAAAAAATGGTTATATTAGAACACAATGTATTTTTCCTATTTTTCATGATAACCAACTTAATACATAACATTCACAACTGGATTCGACTGGGGAACAAAATGCATTTGGTTTTGAGATTCCCTGGTATTCTGGATTTATAACTGGCTAAAAACTAAAGAGAAAAAGAAAGAAAGGAGGGAAGGAGAGAAGGAAAGAAAGGAGGGAAGGAAAAGAAGAAAAGAGAATGAGCAAGAGAAGCTTGCTCATTCAAGTAATACCTTCTCATAATACTTGACTTCATACTCCAAGATCACCCCGTTGGGTCTATCTGGTTCCAGCCAAGCCAGAGCAACACTGTATCTTGTAACTTCTTTCGCCTGGACCAAAGCAATGGATGATGGTGCTATTGGGAAAAAACAAACAAAAAAACAAAAGGGGAAAAAACAGTGGTGGTAGCAAGCGATAATTTCATTTTACTTAAGAAAAGTGTGAAGGATTATCTTGTCTTCCCAGATCCCCATGTCAGTCTTCCCCAGTACAAAAGCATACCGTTTTTATGGTTCTCTCCAATATGTTGGTATATGGTTTGTCTTAGAAAGATACCCTCTGAGGTAAAAGCCTACAGCATCACCTCCACGGCACCTGCAGCCACACCTGCAGCCGTTCCTCACAAAATCTATAGAGAACGCTACCTTCTTTATTTTTTGCAAGCCATGAAATCCACTGGAAGACCTCCTTTTAAGCTCAGTAAAACGGCATTTCCTCCTACCTCCAAAGTTTACAAGTGGTCATCTTACCAGTCTTTAATTTTATACAAGCAGGAGAATTTGCAACTCCTCCCAGGGGACTGTAGGAAATGAGAACAATTTCTATCCTTTCCAATATAAATAAAAGTACTGCTCAATTGTAGCTAAGTTTTCAGTTTGACACCGTGATGCAAATAATGAAGAACACGAATACAACAATGATGCTCTCTCTGGACACGTGTGACGTTTTGAAGCTATTTTTACAAAAGCTGAAATATTGCTTTTGCCTGTTAAGTAGTAAACTTTCTTCTTTCCACTAAGAAAGACACAAAAGCAGTCCTCTGTTGGCTGTGTTCTCAAGAGTCCTTGAGATTTCTAAAACTAGGCTGCCCTCTTCTTCACTGCGATGGTCACGTCTCCAGCTATTGTCCAGTTCTGCTCGGACTGACAATGACACAAATGTGCCATCTCCAGGGAGAAGAGGAGCAGTCAATGAAATCTGTAATCTTACCTAACAAAGCTGGTCTGCAGAACCAGAGATTAGGGGGTCTCCCTCAATTGACCAAACTGTGGAAATATGTGAAATCATCACAAAATGGCCACTGAAGAACAACAGCATAGTGTCAGGTCATCCTCCTGCTCTTTCCCAACACACACACACACACACACACACACACACCTGCCAAACCCTAACTCAGAGGAAAAAAGAGAAAAGTAAAATAAATTGTCACTGAAAATGGATTGGGACTAACTTCAAACATGCTTGACCGTAGCTGACAGGTATGTATTGATGGAAAGGAAAGCAACCAGACACACCATAGTCACAGGGAATCTTCCAGCTGAAGTTAATCAATCAGGGAGCACCTCTTGGAGGTTATTCGACAGCCTGGCATCTCTGTTGGGGGTACTTCAAGATGGCACAGGCACATACGTGCATGCACACACATGTCCCCTGCTCTATTTCTCTCTCCCACTCTTTTTCCCCCAAAGCTATTCCAGATTGAATCTCAGGCATAAGCACAAGTGAAAGATACAGTGGATACATATGTCCTCCATCAAAGGCAACCCCAAGGTTAGTAATACCAAACTGGATGAACAGAGCTGCATGCTTCAGACATATGGAAGCCACTGAACATCTGAAGAAAATGAAAAACGGAAATGTGCTCATTAGCTGCATTAAGGCTTCCCTCCCCCAACACACACACACACACACACACACACACAGACATGCACACACACATTTTCTCTCTCTCTTTCCTTACTGGTTGACACGGAACCATGGTCCAGCAAAACGCAAGGAATGACTCTCCCAAATACAGAGGAAGCAAGAAGGCTAAGAAAGCTGCCTGGCTATGAAAAGCTATTTTGCTCCAGGTAATAAATATATTGTCTAACAGAGCACTTTAGCATATACTCCATAAAAAGGGGCTCTTTAAACTCTGATGTTCAGGATTGGGAAGTGCAATAGAAAAGTGAGGATTTTCGAAAGAAAGCGGCAGAGGATGGGGTTGGGGGGGAATCATAAAGTTATACAGTGGACTTTCTCTCAGAAATGGTCTGGCTCAGATTCTGATAATCAACAGATTCCTCAGGAAAAGAACTGCCTGGCTGCCCTTGGGGTGCACTGCTTAACTGAGCCAGTTTCTCTCTGGCTGGGTTATCACTAAACTGCTGCACGTGGGCAATGAATCTGATTTCCATTTTAGAAGTTGGAACAGCAGTGTTCCTGCGCCCATTCAAGGGGAATATGAACTCAACCGAAGTCCTCAAAATATTGCGGGCAGTGCGTCCGCCATATAATCGTGGTAACTGATAGACTATTTCTAATACAGCCCTACTTGGAAAAATCCATATGCACAAACGTGTAAATAAACCAACCATGTGTGCTCTGACTCGGCCGCCATTAAAAGGGAAGAACATGAGATGAAAAAGTAAAGTAGAATAGTTCTAATTCCTGGAAGGTATTATGTTGTGGGGCTGTCATGTCTGAATTCTTTCTGGACAGATCTCTTTCAGAAAAGCATTTTTATCAGGCCATGGTGACAAAAGCAATCCATGACCAAGTGAGATGGCGAAATATACCTACTACAACATGCAACTGCCCTGTAGTCGAACATGGCAGCCATTCCTCCCTCTAAGGAGAGCGTCTTACCTTCTCTGGTACAAAGAACACCAGTCTGGAAAAAAAAAAAAACTGGGCTTTACAGGGCTGCCACTCTGGAGGGAAGAGGCAGTCTGGATGTGTGCTCTACATTATAAGCCATGTAGGGGTTCTTCCCTTGCCCTTCCTACCCTGCTTCCAACGCAGCCTCCAAGTCCACATCTGGAAGCCATCACCCTACCACGTGTGCCGGGCTGCAGCTCGCTTCCCCAGCTGAGGCATTTGGCAATGGCATTTCTCAATCATTCTCCCACCCCGACGGTTCCCAAGCTTGTCTTCTCATGCCATTCATGTAATTGCTGCCACATCCCTCTGCAACTTGTGCTATGATTTCAGTAATAGTTTTCTTGAAACCACACGCTATATATATTGAGTTGTATTTAAGAAGAAACTTCCCATTACTGATATAAATAAAACCCTGTTAAAAGCAGGTAACCCTAAAAATGAATATGTGAGTAAACAATACTATCAATGTTTGCTGGGCATTCTTGCCTCTCTCCCCGCTTTATCAAAAAGTAGAGATTATAGCCAGTGTGAGAGACGAATCAAGGATAATCCGGGCACCAACTTGAGATTCTGGCCTTGGAGTAAGTGGAAGAACTGAGGGAGAATTGAAGAAACTTACTTTTCACACAGGGCAATTCAGTATTTTAGGAGGTTCCATATGGGTCTCTCATAAAATCGTCTCTGATGCCACCATTATTAGGTTTCCACGTTTTGGTAAATACTGCCAAGCCTTTCTCAATTTAGAAATGTTTTGGATCCTGGGTCCCAACACCCCAGGGCTCTGCCCTTTGCTAACAAAATTACAAGATAATAGACTAACAGAATAACAGAATGAACACTCCTGTCCCTAAAATACGGTTCAGAAGGAGCTATGACAAATCAATGCCTTAGTTCAAAAGAGGGCTTCTCGCCATAGCGGGGGAAATTTTAGTCAACATAAAAAGACCAAGCAGAAAAAAGTCCTGCTAGTCTCTCGGTTCTCTAACTTATATTCTGAAACCTGCAGAGACATCGTTTTTCCTCAGGACTGACTCATCCACTAAGCACATACTTAATGAGCACCGGTGGAATAAGGCAAAGATGGGAAAGCACAGACAAAGCTGAAATCAAGTACAGTCCTTGGGATCAAAGGAAGACCCATCTATCCTTCAGCCTTTTCTGAATTAACAACAACAACAAAATAGATGAGGAAATTTTTTACAACAGTCTTACAGAGAAGGCACCCATTTTCTAGAACTCAAGAGGAGGGCAGTTCCTGCCAATCCTCTTCTTATCCAGATTCTCTCGTGGTGACGGGGAGAAGTATGGGGTGGGCGCTTCCTTATTATACTGTGTTTTTAGACAGGAATACACCTGCCGAAGAGTCAGAGGAGAAGCCAGGAGGAAGATGAAGGCTGACGTAAGGAGCCTCACTACAAGAAAGAGACACATCTTAGATTGGAAACATTCCTACCTACCCACAAACTTCCTTCATAAAAGAGGTGTTTGCTTTAAGGAAAGTTTTGTGCCCCTGGACATAAGCAGGCATTCTTCGGTGGCTAGAATTTTGGCATAACACACAACGAGGGGGGCTGGTCATGCTAGTCGACAGTAGTCCGGTTGCGAAAGATGACTGATGGATGTAAAAATCACAAAGGCAAGAATTACCAGAGGGTAGTTTTAAAGAAAGGTTTGTGACTTAATTTAATTAAGTCCTTAATTTTCAAACGTTAGAAGCAGTATTTCCAATGACTGACAGATGTCCATTTTCCTGTCCTGAGATGTTGTTATCTGAGACCACATCCTATGACTCTCAAGGGTATTTTAGTAGTTTTAATCCAAACCACATTCTCGATTTCCTTTTCTTTTTGCTTATAAATCACACTGACGTACCTGTTCAATCATTCAACAGATGCCCTTTAAGCCTCTGCTTGAGGAACTTAAAATCCAAAGTAGAGCTAAAGAGGTATTTATGTTTAAACAGTTAAACACTGTTTAGCTAAATAAAGATAGCGGCTGAGATAAGAAGCCAGAATGGGGAGAGGGCATTGTAAACTGCAGAAACAACCATGGAAGGATTTGGAACCATGGAAGGTTAGTGAAGTCAGTCAAGATTTGCAGTGACAAACAGGAAGCAGAAAGATGAAAGATGTACCTGCTCCGAGTATGACTGGGATTTTCAAGAAATACTAGTAGTCCGATTCTGTGAGTGTCGAGCGCCCATAGCACATGTGAAATGAGGTAAAGATGAAACTATATCTGACTCATATACTTAAAAGTATTCTTCACCTTACTAATTTGGTGGGAAGATCAATGACTGTTAGAAGGATTTTGGGTGTAATTCTGGGTTTGAAATTCACCAGTTGCCATCTTGGCCAAGTCACTCAAATTTTCTTGCCTCTGTTCTCCCATTTGTAAAACACCGTTCCAGATACAAGTGTGTGAGCTATTAGATGTATGCTCCAAAAAGGTAGGGCTTTCCCTTGTCCATATCGATATCCAAACTACTCA